CTTTTTTCTTCATATTATAAATAGTTTTTGATTTAAAATTCTTTTTAATTCTTTTCGTTTAATGATAAAATGTAATTTTTTCAATTTTAATTAAATAATATTTTTTTAAAATTTAATTATTTCAATTTATTAAAAAACTTTATAATAATCTATTTTTTTTCTATTTTTGCCTACAATTCTTTTTTTTTTTTGTGTTTATTAATTTGTTAAATCATTTAATTTATTTTCTTTATTAATATTGGATTGGATGAAGTGAAGTGAAGTGAAGTGGTGTGTGAAAATGGAGAAAAAAAGTTATTATAAATTTTTTTAATTAAATTGAAATAATTAAAATTAAAATAAATATTATTTGATTAGTTTAGAGAAAATTATGTTTTATTATAAAACCAAAGAATTTTAAATCGAACAAAAAATCATTTATAATATGAAGAAAAAGAAATTTTAAAACAAATTTAAAAAATATAATAAAAACAAAACAAATTAAGCAAAAGAAAGTTACAAAACTTAAATAAAGAATATATAAATATTATTTAATTAAAATTTAAAAAATTAAGTTTTATCTTAAAGGAAAAAGATTTTAAAAGAATTTTAAATCGAAAAAATATTTATATAATAAACAAAACAAATTTAAAAAAAAATTAAATTTCTCTCCTCCGTGTTATGAAGAGAACTCTCTCCATGTTATGGAAAGAAACTTTCCATCATGTGATGGAGAGTTATGGAGAGTTTTCTCTATGTGTTATAGAGAGAAATTCTCCATTTGTTTTTGTTTTTTTATTTATTTTTTCGTAACTTTCTTTTGTTTAATTTGTTTTGTTTTTATTATGTATATTTTAAATTGTTTTAAAATTTCTTTTTTTTTTCATATTATAAATAATTTTTTGTTCGATATAAAATTCTTTTTGTTTTATGATAAAACGTAATATTTTCACTTTTAATTAAATAATATTTATTTTTTATTTTAATTATTTCAATTTTAATTATAAATATTTTTTTTCGCTTCTTTCTTTTCTCTTTATGATAAAACTTACTTTTTTTCAATTTTAATTAAATATTATTTATATATTCTTTATTTAATTTTCGTAACTTTCTTTTGTTCAATTTATTATTATTTTTTTAAATTTCTTTTTTCTTCTTATTATAAATATTTTTTGATTTAAAATTCTTTTCGTTTTATAATATAACGTAATTTTTTCAATTTTAATTAAATAAATGTTATTTTTAATTTTAATTATTTCAATTTAATTAAAAAAACTTTATAATAACCGACTTTTTGTTTTTTTTTTTTTTTTTTTTTCCCTCCATTTTTTTTTTTTTTTTTTTTTATTTTTTTAATTTCTTTGTTTTTTTTTTTTTTTACCTACAATTCTTTTTTTTTTTGTCTTTAATTTGTTAAATTACTTAGTTTCTTTTATTTATTAGTATTTAATTGAATGAAGTGAAATAGTGTGTGAAAATGAAAATATATTGCAACGGAGCTGGTGGTTGCAGTGAAGTGGTGTGTGAAAATGAAGAAATGGTTGAAGACAAGACGACGTCGTTTTTTGCTTCCATGATTTTTTAGTAAAATAAATCATTTTGCTATGTGATAAAATGGAAAATTTCACTATTCGTACCTACAATAACTTCCACTTCCTCTTTTATATAGTGGGGACTGTAACTTCCACTCCTTCTTTTATTTAGTAGGGATCTTTTATATAGAAGGGTTAGGGATTATTGGGATGACAAATACACAAGTGAGATGCTTTTAGCTTGTCAAAATTGGCTTTAACAGTAATTCCTATCTCACCCTTGACATGAACAATTATGAAAAATATGTCAACTATAAATTTGAGGATAATTGTGGCCAATTAATTATTAGAGAGAGGGCATAACTGTTTCCCCAATTTTTCAATTAAATCATGTTAAAAAGCTTTCATATCATACACGTAGTTACTTTCAATTTTTCAACATGTGTGGGCCCACTGTGCATTGGGAAGTGGGTTGCTTTAATGTGGTCAGTAACGTGTATGATGGAAAAATTACGTTCTTCTTTGCTTTCCCATTTTTTTCTACTTTCTTCAATTTCTTTGCTTTCCCATTTTCTTTCTTGAGATAGTTAAAAAAAAAAAGGGAGAAAGAGACAACTACACAGCAATTTCTTCATTCTGCAATTGCATTGGTTTTCTTCATCTTATTGTGATTTCTAATCGACAGATATAGTGAGTCGTCTTGTTGTGATTTTCAACGGGTTTTTTCATCCAACTATGATTTCTTCATCTTTTTATGTATACAGTTCTAATTCTGAGTTCGTGAAATTAACAGGTTGTGTGTTAATATTAACAGAGAGAGATATATAATTTTCTAATTTAATTTATGCTTTCTGTCATTAAAATTGTCTATCTCTGTAATTGTTAATTATTTATTTATTTATTTTTATTTTTGAATTTCAAATGAATTATTGAGTTTAGAGTTCTAGATTTTTAAGTTCTTTCTTGATAAATTGATTTTATCTTTTGCTTCTCTTTTATGGTGGATTTTCGCAAGGCTTATATGTTAAACAAAGAGAGGTATATAATTTTCCAATTTAATTTATACTTTCTGTGATTAAAATTGTTTGATCTTTGTTATTGTTACTTTTTTCCTGAATTTCAAATGGATTATTGAGTTCACAGTACTAGATTTTTAGTTCTTCTTGATAAATTGATTTTATTTTTTGCTTCTCTTTTATGGTGGATTTTCGCAAGGCTTATATATTAGCAAGTTTTCTAAAGAGGGAATTTTGATTGGTTTGTGATTTATATTGAATCTATGTTTGGGGTTCATATATTGATTCTAAGTATATTTGAATTTAGTACTAAATTGCTGAAATTTTTGTAGGTGCCTCTTGTCGTGTTTATGAGTTAATATTTTGTTTTTCTTTGATTTTCTATCTCTAGCTCAAGTTTAGGCAATCCAACTTCCATTCACTACAAATCAGTTGCTAATTTTCGCAAATATTGTTAGACTAAACTTTGTTTGGAATATATTAGATTTTACCTAACCTAACTTTCTCTAGAGAATGTGGAGATAAATAAGTTTCTTCTTAATATTATTTTGGTTTAAATCTTAAAAATATTAACATTTTCGTAAGTCCATGAATTAAAAGATCAACCAATTAATTGAGCTAGGTCACCAATGCTCCTTAGGAAATTTTTTATATCTATATATATAAATTTATGGTGAATTTTAACATCTGACATTGAACTTTATTTTGTTTCTTTTCTTTTTCTTTGGTCACACAATTGAAATCTATTAGGTTTTTTTTTCTATTGGATTGTATGAGATGGCAGCAACAATCTGTAATGGCCTTGAGGTGGAGGTCTTATATGTCATACATTCCATTAGAAAACTTAACAGGATTAAACGAAGTGACCAAATTTTTTCACAAAAAATAAAATAAAATAAAATAAAAAATGTAAACATCGAGTGTCTACTCTAGCTCAAAATAAAATTTGATAATTAAAATGAAAAATAAAAAGTATGTTTACAAAGTTTTTATAAACAATTTATTTAATAGATAGTTAAAAACGAATGAAGGATAAGCGGATGGTAATTGTGAATTTTTAAAATGTGTGAATATAAAATGACTTAAATGTTAATAAATAGTTTATAAACATGAGCCAAGCATGGACTTAAAATCTACCGATTTTAACCATAGAAAAGTCTTTTGCCTTTATTTTTAGTGGAAATGACTTTATAGAGTAGAAAGATTGATCTTGAAAAACTAATGGGTACTTGAAAACAAAAAGTTATTCTTTGTCTGCTCTACTATTAATAATCTTTCTAAGATTTCCACACTCTGTTCCTCTGTCAGTAACTAGCTTCATATTTCCTTTGTTTTCTATGCTTACATATTTTCATGTAGTTGCTGTTACTTACTTTTAGCTCCAACTACTTGATAATTTTTCTTCCTTTATTGATCGACATAATGGAACCATATGCTCATCAAGAGTCATGTTTGTGTAACGTTGAAACTACTTCTAAAAGTGCAAGTCAATCACATGATGTATTAGTTCATCAACAACGAGATTAAAGACGAAGAGATCGACAACATCAAACTGAAACTGGATTCATTAAACATCATAAAAGAATTATTCAACCTATTTTATTTACAAATAATAATTCTCATGTTGTCCATGTACATGAACCTATAACATACCATCATTCTAAGCCTTCTAATTCCAACAATGAAACATTGAACATATGCAATACTAAATTACTAGAAAGTTCTAACCAATTAAATGTGCCATGTATTGCATATGTATTACCAACATCCAAATATTGTAAAGATTGTGGTGCAAAAAAATTCTTGTTCTGATGGGAAAGTTAATATCTCCGTGTTTGATCCGCAAACTGAACTATCCAATTTTTTACTTCTAAAGAACCTACATGTATGTAATTCAAAAAAATTGTGAGGAGATATAATAATCATTTTGCATTCACTTCATTTGAGGTAAAGTATGACAAAGAACTATTTAAATCATACAGAGGTATCTACACATTTAAGATTCAAAGTCAAGTATATCATTACGTAAATCCACTTATGCCAAAAAATAACACTTCTTCTTATATGTAGTTATATTTTTATGACACAGATAACAAAATGGAGAATCTTACTAAAATTTCAGAGAATTTTGTTCAATCTACTTTGATTAGTTTAATTGAAACCCTTAAAAAAATTCGTATAGTAGATTCTTTAGGTCTTTACGTAATATGAAGAATTTGCATGATCATCTAATACAAATAAGATGCGATCCCAGCCTTAATCAAAGAGTTTTCAATACTCCTATGGCATCTCAATTTGCTACTGTATGGGTTGAAGATAATGAAAATACAAATGTTCGTACTCGAGACATTACTATTTACAATCATTTTGGTGATTCACATAAGGTTCATTACTACTATGATTGTTATGGTCCTTTACAATATCCTTTGCTTTTCCCATATGGAGAATTTAGTTAGCATGAAGGTATTAAGAGATGCAACAACAAATATTTCAATCTCAACATGTGTCTAACTTAGATAGTTTTCCTAGCACAGCAACTTTCGCATCTAAAATGATTGAAAAAGAGGATGAAGGTTTATGTATATATTTTCTTTATAGTTCTACTTTCTACAAAGTAAATTAATAAATGAATATATAATATTGACCTTTTCCATCATGTAGTGCTTAATGGAATGACGAAACAGTCTCAGGTCTCTCGCCAAGAATATTATTCATACGAATTCTAGATTAGGCCTCTAGTAAGTCTTTATTGCTTCACACTAGTAGATTATTTCAACAATTTGTTGTAGATATGTATGTTAAGATTGAAATTGCTAGGTTAGAGTATTTTCGTAATAACCAAAAAAAAAAAAATTGTGCTGAACTATATCAAGCAATTGTAGATTGTGTTGAAAATGAAGAAATGAGAGAGTACAAAATTGGAAGAAAATTTGTCTTACCACAATCTTTTATATGTAGACCTAGAGACTTGCTAAGAAAATACATGGATGCGATGTCTATTGTGCAACGTTATGGAAAATCAGACATATTTTTTACTATGACAGGTAATCCAGATTGGCTAGAGATTAAGCAAGAACTAAAGTATAATTGTGAAATTCAAAATCGACCAGATCTAATTGTACGTACATTTCGAGTAAAATTAGAAGAGATAAAAAATGATTTATACAAGAAAAACATCTTAGACCTTGTTGTCGCACATGTATATATGATTGAATTTCAAAAATGAGACTCCTTCATGCGCATCTATTATTGATTTTCAAATATGGCCATAAAATTTGTTGTGCTGAACAGGTTGATACGATAGTATGTTCTGAAATTTCTGACAAAAATATATACCCCCATTTTCATTCTATTATTGTTAAACATAATATGCATGGTTCTTGTGGAAACCTTAATCCTAAAAATGTATGCAGGAAGACAAATAAATGTTGCAAAAATAAATACCCTATTGTAACATGATTACATTTGGTGATAATTCATATCCGTTGTATAAGCGTAGCAATAATGGCATCTTTGTTAAAATTAGATGTTATGTCAGATAATCGCTGGGTTGTAACATATAATCCTTGTTTAAGTACGAAATTTGACTGTTACATTAATGTTGAAGTATGCTCTTCTATTAAAGTTATAAAATATTTGTACAAATATGTATACAAAGGACACAATCATATTAATTTCACAATTGGCACAAATGAAGTAGAGAAAGAAATTAATGAAATTTTTGCTTATCAATCTACTAGATGGATATCTCCACCTGAAACTATGCGGAGAATTTTTTCTTTCAATTTGTCAAAAATTTGTCCTACTGTTTATTCTTTACAATTTTATATTGAAAATCACCAACAAGTGACATACAATAGTTATGATAATTTATTTACTATCATTGAGAACGAAAATACGAAGAGAAAAATATTGACAGGATTCTTTCGAATGAATCAAACAAATGAATTTGCTCGAATATTGTTGCATCAAGATTTTCCTACAAATTTTGTTTGGAATACTAATACAAAAATTTGGACTTCGAAAAAGAAGCAAATTGTTATAGGACGAATTGTCACAGCAAATCATTTTGAAGAAGAAAGCTATTTCCTCCACATTCTTCTTAATCATATTCGAAGGCTAACATCATTTATTGATTTATCAACTTCAAATGTAGCAACTGTTACAACTTATAAAGAGGCTGCATTTTTACATGGTTTAGTAAGCGAAGATAATCATTGTGAAGAATGTTTATCTAAAACTATTTTTTACGAAATGTCAAATTCTTTAAGATGACTATTTGCTACACTACTTACGCTTTGCAACCCCTAATCATCCAAAATTATTGTGGGATAAATTTAACACTTATATGATAGATGGCTATCTACATGAAAATATATCTACAGAAATTGCTAAAGTACATGCTTTACAAGATATTGGTGGTCTTCTAAAATCATTGGGTATAAATATAAATGATTATGAAATAGTTCCATTCAATGTAAATATAGATGAGATGAAAGATTGAAAAAATGGTTATAGAGGAGACGACCAATTTGGACATCAAATGAGACTGTGCTTGTGTAGCGAGTTTAAATAAAGAACAACAGTTTGCATATGATGCGATTATGGAAACAGTTAAATCAGAATCAAGTGGTGCTTTCTTTATTGATGGTCCAGGTGCTATGAGGTCTCAAAATTTGATTGCTTTAGCAACTGCATCTTCTGGAGTATCTGCATCTCTATTACTTGGAGATCGAACAGCTCATTCTAAATTTAAAATTCCTTTAGATACATATGATGAAGTAAGTTGCTCTATTAGCAAGCAATCAGCTTTAGGAACTTTACTCAGAATGTGTAAGCTAATAATTTGGGATGAAGCACCCAAGCTAAATCGTTCTTCTGTTGAAACTGTAGATAAAATGTTTAGAGATATACCGATTGCAATTTGCCTTTCGGTGGGAAGGTGAATGTTCTCGGAGGAGATTTTTGACAAGTTTTACGAGGATAAAAAGAAGGATATAATGAAAGCTAGTTTAGTCTTCCATGACCTATGACCTTTGTTTATACATCTACCATTGATTGAGAATATGAGGGCTAAGTTGGATCTCACATTTTATTATTATTTACTTAGAATTAGAGATGGAACGGAAGAAGAACATACTTGTAACTACAGTAAGCTTCTAGAGAGTATCACTCTACCATTTGAAGACTAAATTCAGTCTCTAAAAAAATTGATAAATCGTGTTTTCCCAAATATTGAAGTATATGCTAATAATTTACATGTGATGGCAAATCGAGTTGTTCTTACGCCTACAAATGAATGTGTTGATCGTATTAACAGAATTTTACTCGAACAAATTACAGGTAAAATTTTCACATATTTTAGCTTCGACGAAACAATTGAGAAATCAGGACAGAGCTTGTAGGAAGATTTTTTGAATAGTTTAACCCCAAATGGTATGCCATCTTATGAATTGAATCTTAAGATAAATTGTCCTGTACTATTATTGAGAAATATTAATCCTTCCAAAGGCTTATGCAATGGGACACGCCTTACTTATCAAAAATTTGAAAAGAATGTAATTCTTGCTAAAATCACAATTGGTGAATATTGTGGAAAATATGTTTTCTTAGCGAGGATTCCTTTTATACCTTTTAAGACAGATCAAAACTCAATTCTATTTAAAATAACTCAATTTTTAATTAGACCATACTTTGCAATGACAATAAACAAATTACAAGGCCAAACACTTGATTTTGTTGGTTTGTATCTTCCAGAACCCTTTTTTTGACATGGTCAACTTTATGTAGCATTATCAAGAGTTAGAACAAGTACAAATATAAAAGTTTTGGTGAAACCATCAACTATTGAAAACTTACACAGTACATATACTAAGAATGTTGTCTACAAGGAATTCCTTTCTTTCATACATCCATAAAGCTATAACTTGGCTTCCTTGTCCATTATTGAAAAACTTCATGAATTTATACAATCAAAGTCATCGATGAAGCTATCAAATTTGCATGAAATAACTCACAAACAATTAGCAAAAAAATATGAAAGTGTTACCAGATAAGCCCATGAGACCAGTGAATTATTGTTTTACAAGTAGCTTTCTCTTCATCTAATGTTTTATTTATTATTTCATCTCAATTTTTCGCTGTACATAATTCTAATGTTCACATGTTTTTTTTTATACAAGTAGTTTGGGATCTTTTCACTTTACATCTTGTTCAAAAAGTGTAGTTCTCAAACATATTATAATTCTTATGAGTTTACTCCTTAGAGACGAAATTTATTTTTTTCAATCTTGTAGTTATTGACATTTTGTATAGTACGTAGAGTAACCAAATAATTGTTTATACTTTTATCCTTAAATATTCTTGTTCTTTTATTATTATTATTATTATTATTATTATTATTATTATTATTATTATTATTATTATTATTATTTTGCAAGTTTACTTTCATATTCATAATTAGCTTATTCATTTTCCAAATTCTAATTATGTATCTTCACAATTAGTTTTTGAATTTAACAAAAAATATTTCACAAGCACTTCAATGGCATCTCTGTAGATGAAATGTTTGCATGTCAGGTGACACATATTCTTACTTGTGTTCATTTCCACAAAGCAAATCTTATTCAAATGTGTTTTACATTTTTTTATCCAACCTTTTAAATAGTAATATTATTATTCTCTCGTGTCTTAAATTCTATCAAACCATTCTAATTTCATTCATCATAATACTATGACTCAAAATTATAAATGTCTTTTCTTTCATGATTTATAGTTTTTCCAAATGCAATTTTTCAACGATCAATGGCCAATTCATCACCTGGTGAAAGAGAGTTGATGATAGTTGGTCGAACATTGAAATGAATAGTCCAAGGTACAATTTACCATATTAAGTAACATCAAAAGAATATGATGTGAATTTCTACCCCAACCAAACAAAAGAATATTATAAATATTTCTTCAAGTTTTATTACTAATTCCTTTTCTTTTCTTTTATTATCCCTGCAAACTGGCATAAATACATTTTGTCCTTCTTTTACCTCTTTCGTCCCGCTTCTTTATAGTCTTTTCTCATCTCTTTTTCTTTTCAGTGAAAAGATTTTAAAAATCCTTTAATCTATCTAAAATTTAATTTACCATATTTGACCAATTCATTTCCAATTTATTTTTATCATAGATGGCCCCAATTAATGCAAATATGGGTGGACCAAGTATTCCTCTTTGTCTGGACAATCATCCACATTTTCAGTGAGTTCTATTTGTTGTTAGTAATGTTATAATTTTTAAAGTAATTGTAAATTTACAAGTTGTTTTGTCCTTCGATCAATACTAAAATCTTCAAATTTTAATTCATTTTTAAGTTCTTTCAAAATACAGGAATTTGAAAATATTGTCTATGATGACTTCTACACTTGGACATTTCTTTTCAATAATTTGGATCAGTTTTATCTAAGAGCCAATCCTGAATTGGGGAGAAAGTTTTGAAAATGTTGTTGACAAAGTTTAATTTCCAACCACGTGTGAAATAATTTCTCTAATTTAGTTTGGTAAGACCTCCCGGTATTCTCATGTGATGTAATGGATAGGAAATGTAGTTTTGTTAGAGATCTTTGTTTTCCTTAGTTCATTGTGAGGATTTTTTTGTTAGCGTTACATTTTTTTTTTTTTACCAACTGCACAAGACAAAATGTATTTCACGATAATTCAACACATTTAACACACTAACGTTTATATATATATATATATATAACGGACAAACGACCTTTCCTTCTCACTAAAAGGTGTCTCTATCTAAAAGAATGATTTAGGATTAAAAAAAATAAACCCATTTTCAGATTTGACTTTGGACTTTGTAATAATTAATCCATAAACTAATCCTTTTGAGGTGGATCCGAATCATAGAAACATGGTCGTGACTTGTCGCTTTCTTGTTCATAGGTGCTGCTAATGAATTTTAATATTCATGAATGAAATATAAAAGTGATTAACTATGCCCTGTTTGTTCCATTATTTGAAAAATTAAATAATTTTGAATAGTATTTACTTGTGATTAAAACGTAATTTTTTTTTATTAATTTGTGTGTAGAATATTTAATTGTGTGAATTGTGGTAGATAATAATAATGTAGCAAATAATTTAAAATTTTAAAAGGTGACAAATAGGCTCTATATAATATTCACTAACAAAATTAAATTTTTAGCTCGTTAGAATTATAGCAGACACTTATGTATTATTTTAATCACATTTCGTCAAGTCATATTTTCCTTCAACCAAAAATTTGATGAACGTATACCAAATGTCATGAATGGATAAACATACATTATATATATAAAAACTTAAATTGTTAGAAAGAGCTAAATAGCTAACAAATAATTGTTATGTAGAATAACAAACATAAAATTGATGACATCGATCAATATATACACAAAGAGGAATAAGACAAAAAAATGTAATGGACGAGATTATAATATATATGTTGAGTACGGTATATAATCCATACCAAATAAATCGCAATACATTTGAATTAGATAGAAACTAAAGATTCTAAGAATAATTTTCTATTATTCTATGCCCCAATGTGCAAATTACCATACAGTGATATAAAGCCAAATTAGTTGTTATTCAAATGATGTAAATCAACGAATTGAGTTTGCATCTATTATCATTCTTTATTGGTTATTGATATTTACACAATATATCAAAAAGAAAGTTCGTGTATTTGGCCATCGACTTATTTTTCTTCCACAAATAATCTGCAATCAAATGCATTCAACAAAAAGAACGAAGATAGCAGACCTGGCAATATGCAACCACTGCTATTGAAAACGCGGCATCAAGTATGAGAATTTTCATCCTCAGAAATGTCCAAATGACCTTTTGAAATCTCTTTATGATAATGTCATCTCTACATTCATTTCCTTATTTCCATTCCATTCTAACTTTTGCGAGCATACAGAAATTTGCAATACTGATATAGGCCAGTAGTTTCTTTTTTCGTTAATTTCAACATCTCCTTTTAGTTTCTCATGTTGAATATAAATCATATTTTCATTCCATACAAGGTCAAGAAAATAAATTAATTAACTCGAATAACTGTCAAATGAGCAATTAATATTAGCTTAGCAAAAGAAAAAAAAATGCAATGACTGAGAAAAATTAAGAGAGATATTAAAATATCAAATTAGAAACTTTAGAACCTACCACAAGAAATGAATATATAGTGACTCGATCATTTTCATTGCTCTGCATTAAAATTACAATTTCTGAAGACATTACATAGTGTATGTTTGGTATAAAGCACTAGATGGGACTTGACAGTTTAATGGAAAAAAAAAATTGGCTTCTTTTTCATCTTAATACCGTCAAGTGCTATCCAATGCAACCTACTAAACATACTACTAGAGTTCAAAGAAATTTAAACAGAACTCAGAGAGGGATGGTGTAGTTCTTTAATTTTTTATTTTTTAACTAAAATTTACCAATAGAACAATGAACCTTAATACA